TAAATAAATAAATAAATAAATAAATAAATAAATAAATGTAGTGATGTGATGTTCAGTGATGGGAGAATGGCTTCCAGGCCTCCTTTTTAATTGTTATTTTTATTTTTATTATTTTTTTATTTATTTATTTATTTTTTGAGACGGAGTCTCGCTCTGTCGCCCAGGCTGGAGTGCAGTGGCCAGATCTCAGCTCACTGCAAGCTCCGCCTCCCGGGTTCCCGCCATTCTCCTGCCTCAGCCTCCCGAGTAGCTGGGACCACAGGCGCCGCCACCTTGCCCGGCTAATTTTTTGTGTTTTTAGTAGAGACGGGGTTTCGCCGTGTTAGCCAGGATGGTCTCGATCTCCTGACCTTGTGATCCGCCCGTCTCGGCCTCCCAAAGTGCTGGGATTACAGGCTTGAGCCACCGCGCCCGGCCTTAATTGTTATTTTTAAAATTACATTAGAAGTGTCCTTGTAGTAGCATTTATTTAACATTTCTCAAGGGAAACTTTAAATGGCAAAGAATCAGGCCAGTAGAAAAATGAAACGATGTCAGGTCTCAGAGTGATAGCCTCATCTCCCAAAGTGAACACTGCGTAAGTAGAGGCTTCTGTTTGATGGGCAACGACTGACATTTGTGATGTTGAGCATCGTCTCAGTGGCACCATCTGACCAGCTTGAATGGCTTTTGAGAGTATAAGTGAACCTGGGGGACAAAAATCTGTGCAGCCCAATTGGTAAGACATGGAAGGGGCTGGGAGCAGGTAGGCGGGCCTGGCTCTGGTGGCTCAGTGCCCTGTGGGGCTCCAGCCTATGCGTGTGGAACAGGGAGGTACCATCCCTACTTTTCCATCACATCTTAAATGGCTATCCATGTGAGACATTGCTAAGGTAAGTCCTCAGGATGTGGTAGTTAGGATGAATAAGCTGAGCTTCCTTCATTCCACCTAGGAGGCTCCTAACGGTGTCCCCTTGACCTGAGAGGTAGAAGAACTGAAAACTGCTTTTCCTGCTGTCTGTGTCTCTTAAACACTGCCCTTCCTGCCTTCTGTGGCCAATGCCCAAGTACACCAGCAGGTTTTTAGTCAAAAACCACAGAAAACTAAACCTGGATATTTTAAGCAAAAAAACTCATATATATGCGGAAGGGATCTGGGGTAGCTCATGGAATCTCTGGAAAGGCAGGGAAATATAGCTCTCAGAGGAGAGGCGAGAAAAGGGAGGCTGGACAGCGAGCTCCGTGGACAAAGTCATGCCACAGAACCACCTCAGAGAGGGCACTGATACCTGGGCACTGCATGTTGACGCCACCTGGGCACTGGTGCCTCTGCTGCCCCTAAGAACCAGTCATTGTTGCTGCTGTCATTGCCAGGAAATAATTCTCATTCCTGTTTTTTTTAAATATAAACTTTAACTGAAGTCTAATATGTGTAGAGAAAAGTAGACAAATAAGTGTACAGCTCAGTGAATGTTCATAAAATGAACACCCTGAATAACCACTACCTGGATGAAGAAATAAAACGTGACCACCCTGGGCCGGGCACAGTGGCTCACACCTGTAATCCCAGCACTTTGGGAGGCCGAGGCGGGCGGATCACGAGGTCAAGAGATCGAGACCATCCTGGCCAACATGGTGAAACACCGTCTCTACTAAAAATACAAAAATTAGCTGGGTATGATGGCGCGTGCCTGTAGTCCCAGCTACTTGGGAGGCTGAGGCAGGAGAATCACTTGAACCTGGGAGGCGGAGGTTGCCATGAGCCGAGATTGCACCACTGCACTTCAGCCTGGCGACAGAGAAAGACTCTGTCTCAAAGAGGAAAGAAAAAAAAAAAAAAGGCCGGGCGCAGTGGCTCAAGCCTGTAATCCCAGCACTTTGGGAGGCCGACCCGGGCAGATCATGAGGTCAGGAGTTCAAGACCAGCCTGACCAACATGGTGAAACCCCATCTGTAAAAAAAAAAATACAAAAAGTAGCTGGGCACAGTAGTGCATGGCTGTTTTTGCTCAACATTATATTTGTGAGCTTTTTTTCCAGGTTCTTTTGTTTGTTCATTTTTTGTTTTTGTAGAGACAGGTTCTTGCTGTGTCACCTAGGCTACAGTACAGTGGTACGATCATAGAACGCTGTAGCCTCAAACTCCTGGGCTCAAAGGATCCTTCTGCCTTAGACTCCCAAGTAGCGGGGTCTTCAGGCACATGTCAACATGCCTGGCTTTTTCTTATTTTTATAGAGACAGGTCTCGCTTTGTTACCCAGGCTGGTCTCGAACTTCTGGCTTCAAGCAATCCTCCGGCCTTGGTCTCCCAAAGTGCTGGGATTATAGGTGTGAGCCACTGCACCTGGCCTCTTCCAGGTTCTTATATGTAACTGACTCATTTGTTCTCATTGCTGTATTATATTCCACCGTTTGAATGAACCACAAAATGGATAAACCACCATTTATCTGTCCATTCTAGTGTCTATGGACCTGCAAGTTGTTTTCAGATTTTGGCTTTTAGGAATAATGTTGTGAACATTTTGGTACCTGCCCTCTGGTAAGCATATGTGCACATTTCTAATGCTGAAATCCACAGGAGTAAAGTTGCTTAATCATGGGACACATATACATTCACTGATAACTGACGAGGTTGAGTGCTTTTTCATATGTTTATCAGCCATTTGGGTATCTTCCTTTGTGAAGTACCTACTGAACTTTTTTACTCATTTTAAATTGGTTCATTTACTAGCATAAAGGTTCCCCCAAAAATTAAAAATAGAGCTACCATATGATCCAGGAATTCCACTTTTGGATATTTATCCAAAAGAATTGAAATTAGGATCTCAAAGATATTAGCACTGTCATGTTCATTGCAGCATTATTCACAGTACCCACCTAAATGTCCATCAATGGATGGATGGATCTAAAATTATTGGCCGGGCACGGTGGCTCATGCCTGTAAACCCAGCACTTTGGGAGGATCACCTGGGGTCAGGAGTTTGAGACCAGCCTGGCCATCATAATGAAACCCCGTCCCTACTAAAAATACAAACGTTAGCTGGGCATAGTGGTGGGCACCTGTAATCCCAGCTACTCGGGACGCTGAGGCAGGAGAATTGCTTGAACCCAGGAGGCAGAGATTGCTGTGAGCCAAGATCGTGCCACTGCACTCCAGCCTGGGTGATAGAGACTCCATCTCAAAAAAAAAAAAAAAAAAGCACACACACATACAACAGAACAGTAGCCTTAAAAAGGTAAGAAATTGGCCAGTCATGGTGGCTCATGCCTGTAATCCCAGCACTTTGAGAGGCTGAGGCAGGCAGATCACGAGGTCAGAAGTTCGAGACCAGCCTGGCAAACATAGTGAAACCCTGTCTCTACTAAAAATACAAAAATTAGCCAGGCTCTTGTGGACTTCAGCTCTTGTGGACTTCAACACCTTAATTATGAGATTCTAGCCTCCAGAAGTATGAGATAATAAATTTCTGGGTTTTTTGTTTTTTGGGGTTTTTTTGAGATGGAGTCTCCCTCTGTCACCCAGGCTGGAGTGCAGTGGCACAATCTCGCTCGGCTCACTACAACCTCTGCCTCCCAGGTTCAAGCAATTCTCATATCTTAGCCTTCCAAGTAGCTGGGACTACAGCCGTGTGCCACCATGCCTGACTAATTTTTGGATTTCACCATGTTTCCCAGGCTAGTCTCAAACTCCTGACCTCAAGTGATTTGCTCACCTTGGCCTCCCGAAGTCCTGGGATTACAGGCGCGAGCCACCACACCCAGCCTCCAGTTTGCTTTTAAAGCCAATTTTTACAAAGTATAAAAGTATAACATACATGCAGAAAAACTAGTCAATTACAAGGATGTAGCTAGTGAATTTTCATGGAGTGAGCACCTCCCTTATTTTGAATTTATTTCCCTCCACTTATTGTTAACAAACAGTGGCTTGTCATTTATAGGCCTGTGTCCTTCCCAAGCTAGACCACTGAGGCCAGAAAGCTGTGTCTTTATTTTTGTATCTACTCCCTCCCCAGTTTCTAGCACAGTTCCTTTATATAGTAGCCCACAGGAAGTGCTTGCTGAATTAGAATGCAGAAGGTTGGATGGGAATTTCACAGTGGATCAGGGTCACCTTGAGCTTGTGTTGAATGGAAGTTCCACATATGGCTAAGTGCTTTGCTCCAGAGTGGTAGCTTTTGGTCTTTCTGTGCATCTGGATTCAGATTTGCTGCCCTGTCTGTATATATGTGTTTGTGTGTGTGTGTGTGTGTGTGTGTGTGTGTATACATATATATATATATATATATATTTTTTTTTTTTTTTCCCATGGACATTTTTGGGGAAGGTCTTCTGGAAAACATAGCCCAAGGCAGGGATTAAAGAGCTGATGCTGGCCGGGCACGGTGCCTCATGCCTGTAATCCCAGCACTTTGGGAGGCTGAGGCGGGCTGATCATGAGGTCAGGAGATTGAGACTTTCCTGGCTAATACAGTGAAACCCTGTCTCTACTAAATATACAAAAAATTAGCTGGGCGTTGTGGCATGCGCCTATAGTCCCAGCTACTCGGGAGGCTGAGGCAGGAGAATCGCTTGAACCCAGGAGGTGGAGGTTGCAGTGAGCCGAGATCACGCCACTGCACTCCAGCCTGGGCGACAGAGTGAGACTCTGTCTTAAATAAATAAATAAATAAATAAATAAATAAAGAGCTGACACTTTGGGAGGTGCAATCCCAGGGCTGTGAACCAGCCACGGCAAGTGGCAGAGGAGAGATCAAAGTGATCACCCAACGCATTCCCTTGCTGGATGACACTTCACAGCGAGCTACAGAGAGACACGGCGGGTCGCTCAGCAAGCATGCTTGCCTGGCACATGGACTTTTCCAGAACATATGCAAGAAGAAAATACACCTCAGAGCCATCCACGGAGGGAAGAGTGGAGGGAGATTTATCTGACCTGTTCCTTTTCATCTCCTATTTTCCACTGTGGCATTTCATGCAAGCCCAGAAGTGGAGGGACGGCATGACCTGGATGAGGCATCACCGAGAGAGACAAAGAAGGAGGTGGTCGAGGGAATCTGAGAAGGCGCACAAGGTTTGTGTCCAATACAGTCCACACCTTGCGCTACTCAGGTCTGCTCGTGCCCTCCCATGATATCAGCTCTCCTGCTTCAATGTGGGAATCTCCATTTCCCTTGGAGAACAAAAACATCCTCATCCCTTCCCTGAGCAGGATGGTACAAGTCCCATCAGTGACACAAGCCGTTTCCTGGTGCTGGCCCATTGGGGTTACCAGGAAGGATAAAGCAAGAAGGTGGTGAAACAAGGTCATCTGCTGCTGCTGTGGCCGGTGCTGATGCGGTCATTGTTACTCATTGTTTCTCTCCTGCACTACGCACCCTAGTCCCTCTCCACTCTCCGCCAGCACTCGGGCTGGTCGGCGATGTTTGCACTGAGGGGTCTGCGTATGTTGTTGGCCTTGCCCATTATCAGCCGTCACCAAACATGGAATTATTAAGAGATACCGGGGCTGGGCGCAGTGGCTCATGCTTGTAATCCCAGCACTTTGGGAGGCCAAGGTGGGCGGATCACCTGAGGTCAGGGGTTCGAGACCAGCCTCACTAATATGGTGAAACCCCATCTCTACTAAAAATACAAAAATTAGCCGGGTTTGGTGGCAGGCACCTGTAATCCCAGCTACTCGGGAGGCTGAGACAGGAGAATCACTCGAACCCAGGAGGCAGAGGTTGCAGGAAGCCGAGATCCTGCCATTGCACTCCAGCCTGGGCGACAAGAGTAAAACTCCCTCTCAAAAAATAAAAAACAAAAGAAGAGATACCCCAAGAAGTCCTCTGGGTTTTATTCCAGACATTCTCCTCCCATTCCCAAATGGGCCACTCACCTAATTCCTCATAGCAATTAGGATCAGTGACCCCTGGCAGTAGAGTCACTCCCCTCTTTGTTGGTCACTGGCATGAGGAGCCATAGGTGGCCAAGTGGTTGTGGCAGTGTCCAGGTCAGTAGGAATCCTTGTTTCACATTCCTCCCTTACCCCAGGACTAGATCCTCTAACGCAGCTGATCCCAAGTGTGTGAGGACGGGAAGCACACACCTTGCAAAGGGCAACCATGCATGATGGTGAGCAGGGCCACTCTTGGACCTGTCTGCTGTAGCTGTGGGGGACATGGTACCAGATATCAGTTGTCAGCTTAAGGCATCCTGGAGGACAGAGGCCCAAACCTGAGGGGCATTTCTCCATTCGTGCCCCTGCTAAGCCAGTAGGGCATTCCATTGTTTTGTCAGGTTCGCTGCCCACTAGTGCAGCTGGAATCATAAATTCACCGATTCCAGTGAATTTATGAGGAGTCATTGGCACAGCTGCTAGGCTGAAATGGGCCACTTTGTATAAGGCTGTGTTGAATGGAAGTCCAGGCCAGCACATGAGGCATTCAGTACTTTGGACCATGGTGCTACTGGAGGCACTACAGGCAGGGAAGGCAACTCCATTACCAAAAAGGGCTTCCGTTTCATGAAGGATAAATTGTGTATCCCTCCAAGGTGGAAGGGGTCTGATATAGTTAGTGGCTGTCTGGCCCTTCCCAAGGATGGGCCATCTCAAGGAGGGTTCCATGTTGGTCTCTACTGCTGGTAGATTGGGCATTCAGTGGAGTCGCAAGATGAGCCTTGGTGCTGGGGAGGCAAAAGAGGAAGAAAAGCAAGGGGAGGATACAAACTAACATGAGGCTTCAAGGCCTGGCCACCGCTTTGCAGCAAACTGCAAGGCTCACAGAGGCCACTCATGTTCTCTGGGCTTATGGACTTCTCTGGAAGGTTTGCAAGGATACCTCAGAGAGATCTGCAGGGAAGAGCATTTCCTGGCCTGGTTCCCATCCACTTCCCATTTCCCACTGCTCATTGTTTAACCTGTGAGTCACTAACCCTTCCATACTGTGAGCTGCAAAAATCCAGCTTCTTGGTGACCACTCAGGAAGCCAGATTGCATACTCTGAAATGCAGTACTCCCCAGCCCAAAAATGCAGGGGCAACTTGGCTTAAATGGAGGAGGGAGAGAGGGGACGGAGGAGGTGCGCCATTCTGAGTTGGTGCACAAGGTTTGTGTCCAATACAGCTGTGTTAGTCGCTAACCACAGATGGTCTCCGTGGCCTAAAAAGTGATACATTAACTATTACAGGCTTCCAAGTTTGGATAGCTGGAATCCTTGACAGAGGTGAGAGTGTGACTGGGGTCATTGCGAGTATTATTAATCGGTGTAGTTAACTTAGTGGGAGGTTGGTTGTGGTAAATTCTCTTGCAGTTAAATTGTACTGCAGATGTTTATCATTTTGTTTATATTTGTTCTAAATACATCAGATATCAAAGTAATGCCTCAAAACATGTCTCCTTAAAAATGGCAGAAGATACATTATCATGTTTTTTTTTGTTTTTTTTTGTTTTTGAGGCGGAGTCTAGCTCCATCACCCAGGCTAGAGTGCAGTGGTGCGATCTCTGCTCACTGCAACTATCACCTCCTGGGTTCAAGCAATTCTCCTGCCTCAGCCTCCTGAGTAGCTAGGATTACAGACATGCACCACCATGCCTGATTAATTTTTGTATTTTTAGTGGAGACAGGATTTCACCATGTTGGCCGGGCTGGTCTCAAACTCCTGGCCTCAAGTGATCTGCCCACCTCAGTGCTGGGATTGCAGGAGTGAGCCATCATGCCTGGCCACATTATCATGTATTTTGGATATGAGCGCTGTTAAAACTGGGAGGCCCTAGGACATGGCCTGGTAATAAGGCCACTGAAGCTGCTCAGGGCTCAGTGAGAGCAAATGGTTCTGGAATGTTGCACACCTCCATAGGCTCTTGGGGGAGAGGAGTTACCACTATAGCTTGCAGGGCCCAGATCCATAATGTACTGTGAGCTTTAAGTTTGCCACCATCTGGACTATTGGACTTCCCTAGAAGGTTAACCTTCATAGAGAGGGTTACCTCAGCTAGGACTCACAATGGGAGAAACAAAATCATTTATTTACAACATGAGCAGGTGCACTACTCCCAAACAACAATCTGAATTTTAGGATACGTCCCTAAATTTTAGACCTTTTCAGTACTGAGTTTGAAGCCATTGAAAATTTTTTAAAACTGAATAAAAAGGATAAAAATAATACCTTGCTACAGGTTAAAAATGGATTGAACATAAAATACCTAAATGAAAGAGAAGAGCAGAGCTAAATTCTAAGACTGGCAAACGTATCAGATCTTGATAATTTTAAGGGTTGTTAGCCCCCACATTTATATATTTCACTATATAATTCTTTCCAAATAATGTAGAAAGATAAAACTGAAAAAGTAAGAGGCTGGGTGTGGTGGCTCATACCTGTAATCCTAGCACTTTGGAAGGCCAAGGTGGGAGGATAACTTGAGCTCCGGAGTTCGAGAACAGCCTAGGCAACATACTGAGACCTTGTCTCTACCAAAAAAAAAAAAAAAAAAAAATTAGCTGGGCATGGTGGCACATACCTATGGTCTCTGTTACCTGGGAGGCTGAGACAGGAAGATTGAGTGCAGGAGTTCAAGGCAGCAGTGAGCTATGATTGCACCATTCCACTTGAACCTGGGCAACAGAGTGAGACTCTATTTCAAAAACAAATTAATATAAAACCCTTAATAAAAGGTAACCCTAACTAGAATGAGTAAAGGATCAATTTAGATTTGGATGCTGCATGACTAGAAAAACTAATCTGCTATATTTTCATTTTCTGAAGTGCTCATGTTACTTATTCGTATCTACCTGCTCTTGTTTCATTTTTATCAACTTCTATTTCATTAAATTGTTTCTTCTTCTCTTCTCTCTCTCTCTTTTTTTTTTTTTTTCTTTTTGAGACAGGATCTTAACTCTGTCACCCAGGCTGGAATGCCTGGCTAATTTTTGTGGTATTTGTAAAGACAGGGTTTCACCATGTTGCCCAGACTGGTCTTGAGCTCCTGGCCTCAAGTGATCTCCCACTTCAGCCTCCCAAAATGCTGGGATTACAGGCATGAGCCACTGCGCCCCAGCCTATTCCTCCTTTTACTGATGCTATTCCTTTATCTTTGAGAATCCTAAACCTATTTATATTAAATACTTTTCATATTATTATGGCTGAAGTGATTCTTCTTCTTCTTCTTCTTTCTTTTTTTTTGAGATAGAGTGTCACTCTGTCACCCAGGCTGGAGTGCAGTGGCGCAATCTTGGCTCACTGCAAGCTCCACCTCCCAGATTCACACCATTCTCCTGCCTCAGCCTCCCGAGTAGCTGGGACTACAGGTGCCCGCCACCACGCCCGGCTAATTTTTTTGTATTTTTAGTAGAGACGGGGTTTCACCATGTTAGCCAGGATGGTCTCAATCTCCTGACCTCGTGATCTGCCTGCCTCGGCCTCCCAAAGTACTGGGATTACAGGTGTGAGCCACCGCGCCCAGCCTTCCTTTTTTTTTTTTCTTTTAGAGACGGAGTCTCATCTCACTCTGTTGACTAGGCTGGAGTGCAGTGGTGTGATCTCGGTTCACTGCAACCTCCATCTCCCAAGTTCAAGCAATTCTTGTGCCTCAACCTCCCAAGTAGCTGGGACTACAGGTGTGCACCACCATGCCCAGCTAATTTTTGGTATTTTAAAATTATTATTTATTTATTTTGAGACAAAGTCTCACTCTGTCACCCAGACTGGAGTGCGGTGGCACGATCTCCGCTCACTGCAACCTCCGCCTCCCAGGTTCAAATGATTTTCATGCCTCACCCTCCCGAGTAGCTGGAATACAAGTACACACCACCATGCCCAGCTACTTTTTGTATTGTTAGTGGAGACGGGGTTTCACCATGTTGTCCAGGCTGGTCTCGAACTCCTGACCTCAAGAGATCCCCCTGCCTCGGCTTTCCAAAGTGCTGGGATTACAGGCGTGAGCCACCATCCCTGGCCTGAAGTGATTCATCTTCTAAGCATTGACTTCGCTGGCTTCTTTATTAGCATTGGTTTTCTTCACAGGTTTTGAATTTTGGTTTTCAGACTCATCTCGACTGGGAGGTCTTCCCTCCCTCCCTTCCTCAGCCTCATCTACTCTTCTTTGTCTAGTGATTTTTTTAAATGCCTTTACTTAGTCTCCTGGGAGTCCCGTCTAGAACCAGATCCTATGATGGGGGCTTGGGGCTTCTGCCCTTGAGTGACATTGGGAATATCTCCAATCCAGTCCCTGACCCTGGAGGCAGATGAGTTCAGGTTCTGGCTACAAGACTTTGCTATCAGCTGTGACCCTGGGAAGATGATAGCAGCATTAAATTGTTAAAATTTTGAAATAACTTAGATTTACAGAAAAGTTAGAAAAATAGTGCAGACAATTCCTGTATACTCTTCGCTTAGCTCCCCTTAGTGTTAACATCTTACTTCACCAAAGTACAAGTCTCAAAACTAGGAAACTAACATCATTATAATACTATTAACTAAACTCCAAACATTATTCAAATTTCACTAGTCTTTTTTTTCTATTTTATAATTCAATCCAAGATTCTGTATTGCATTTAGTGATTTTTCTGTGTCCATAATTTAATCTACTTTTGTTAAGGAATATCTGTCCCCTCTCCCCCATTTATTTAGTTGATGGGTTATAATTAGTATGATCACTGCTGGGTAACTTCCAGTCCAGCCCTGATTTCATGCAGTGGACTGGCTGCCATCTCCCACCCTGCACAAGTCACTTTGATTCTCCAGTTTTCCACAGGAACTTCTGGAACTCTTTTTTTTTTTTTTTTTTTTTGAGAAGGAGTCTTGCTCTGTTGCCCAGGCTAGAGTGCAATGGTGCAATCCCGGCTTATTGCACCCTCCGTCTCCCAGATTCAAGCGATTCTCCTCTGAGTGGCTGGGATTACAGGCATGCATAACCACATCCGGCTAATTTTTCTATTATTAGTAGAGATGGGATTTCACCATGTTGGCCAGGCTGGTCTCAAACTTCTGACTTCAGGTGATCCTGCGGCCTTGGCCTCCCAAAGTGCTGGGATTACAGGCGTGAGCCACCGTGCACGGCTGAAACTCTAAAACAACGTAGCCTACAAGGTACTGAATTGAGTCCCTGACTTATTTTCTTTTCCTTTTTTTTTTTTTTTTTTTTTTTTTTAGAAATATGCTTACCCACCTGCCTGATTTTCTTGCTTCATTTTTCCCTCATCTGCTCTCTTGTTCTCGGCACTCTGGCCAAAGGACCTTTCTTTCTATTCCTTGGAAGCTGAGAACTGCTGCTTGCCTCGTGGGCTTTGCCCCTGCTGCTCTCTCTCTCCAGAACACTGCCCATCCACCTCTTATTTCTGAGCTAAGCCATAATGTCATTTTTGGTGAGTCACTACACTAACACCTGAACAATTTCTAGCCTAAAATGTCCTTAAATCTGAAAATGTCAGGCTTCCAACAGGCATGCCCAGCTTCGCCCGTTTTCTAAATTAGAGTGACTTTCCTTCGAGCAAAACATACCAGCAGCTAAGAGTTGGGCTTTCCTTCAGCTACGTGTCATCTTCTCTAAGGAATGTGCCCAAAGCACAAGGGAATTGGAAAAGACAATCGCTGTTCAAAAAAAGACAAATGTCTTTTTTTTTTTTTCCTTTAAGACGAAGTTTCGCTCTTGTCGCCCAGGCTGGAGTGCAATGGTGCCATCTTGGCTCCTTGCAAGCTCCGCCTCCCAGGTTCAAGCGATTCTCCTGCCTCAGCCTCCCGAGTAGCTGGGACTACAGGCGCCCGCCACCATACCCTGCTAATTTTTGTATTTTTCAGCAGAGATGGGGTTTCACCATGTTGGCCAGGCTGGTCACAATCTCCTGACTGCAAGTGATCCACCCGCCTCCTCCTCCCAAAGTGCTGGGATTACAGGAGTGAGCCACTGCGCCCAGCTGACAAATGTCTGATTGAGTGTCGAGTCATTTGACTTTAGAACTGATAGAAGAATAAAAAAAATGACAGATGATGAGCTGCCAGGGAAAATAAATTCGCATTAAAAGGTAGCAGAAAATTACCAAATGAGCTCCTACCACTGGACGTATTAAATGCTGGCCAATCACTCTTCCTTTTCTAATGCCCTACATGGGAAAAGATTTATTATGTCATAGGGGTTCTGAATTTCCTTCAAGTGTCTAAGGAGTGAGTTAGGTCCAGTCATGATAGTTGGATCTCCATTTTCTGACATTAATTGTAACTGGAAATGGCATACACTTTAGTCACCTACCCTGTCCTTATTTTGATACCATTAACTCCATCATCTTATAACTAGCAGAGGGCCCAGTCCCTTGTCATGAGGTTGTACTGTGTTTGCCCAACCAGTGCCTTCAACTAATCCATGTAGAGCCAGGAAATGGGGCATCCTTGCTCTGTAGATCTCATGATAGAACAAAAGGACAGCATCGGGGAGACAGTGGTCCCAGGTGCCTCCCAGCAGGAGATGCCTCTCCATCTGCCCCCTCAGGCTCTGGGCCTCCAATTTCAGTTTTAGTGGCAGGATCCCAACCTGCTCCAACTCCATAGTTCTCTTTTTTTGTTTTGTTTTGAGATGGAGTCTCGCTCGGTCACCCAGGCTGGAGTGCAGTGGCACCATTTTGGCTCACTGCAATCTCCACCTCCGGGGTTCGAGTGATTCTCCTGCCCCAGCCTCCCAAGTAGCTGGGACTACAGGTGCATGCTACCACGCCCAGCTAATTGTTGTAATTTTGTAACTGCCCAAGGGGTTCACCTTGCCCACTGCCTAGACAGAGCCGATTCATCAAGAAAGGGGAATTGCAATAGAGAAAGAGTAATCCACACAGAGCCTGCTGTGCGCGAGACAGGAGTTTTATTATTATTCAAGTCTGTCTCCCTGAGCATTGGGGAGCAAAGTTTTTGTTCTGTTTTGTTTGTTTTTGAGAAAGAGTTCCACTCTGTAGCCCAGGCTGGAGTGCAGTGGTGCGATCTCAGCTCACTGCAACCTCTGCCTCCCCCGTCCTGGTTTAAGCAGTTCTCCTGCTTCAGCCTCCCAAGTAGCTGGGATTACAGGCAAGCGCCACCATGCCCAGCTAATTTTTGTATTTTTAGTAGAGATGGGATTTCACCACGTTGGCCAGGCTGGTCTCAACCTCAGATGATCCAACCATCTCGGCCTCCCAAAGTGTTGGGATTATAGGTGGAGCCACTGCGCCCAACAGAGGGGAGCAGAGTTTTTAAGGATAACTTGGTGGGTGTTGGGGGAACCAGTGAACCAGGAGTACTGATTGGTCAGGAATGAAATTATAGTTAGTCAAAGCTGTCTTCTTGTACTGAGTCAGTTCCTAGGTGGGGGCCACAAGATCAGACGAGTCAGTTTATCTATGTGGGTGGTGCCAGCTGATCCATCAAGTGCAGGGTTTGCAAAATATCTCAAGCACTGCTCTTAGGAGCAGTTTAGGGTGGGTCAGAATCTTATAGCCTCCAAATGTATGACTCCCAAGCAATAATTTCTAATCCTGTGGCTAATGTTACTCTAGTCCCCAGGCGAAAAGGAGGTCTGCTTTGGGAAAGGGCTGTTCTCATCTTTGTTTAAACTGTAAACTACAAGCTAGGCATGGTGGCTCATGCCTGTAATCACAGCAAATTTGGGAGGCCAAGGCGGGCGGATCACCTGAGGTTGGGAGTTCAAGACCAGCCTGACCAACATGGAGAAACCCTGTCTCTACTAAAAATACAAAAAATTAGCCAGGCGTGGTGGCGCATGCCTGGAATCCCTGCTACTCGGGAGGCTGAGGCAGGAGAATCACTAGAACCCAGGAGGCGGAGGTTGCGGTGAGCCAGGATCACGCCACTGCACTCCAGCCTGGACAACAAGAGTGAAACTCCATCGCAAAAAAAACAAAAAAACAAAAACAGAAAACCAAAACAAAACAAAACAAAAAACTATAAACTACAAACTAAGTTTATCTCAAAGTTAGTTAGTTCAGCCTATGCCCAGGAATGAACAAAGACAGCTTGGAGATTAGAAGCAAGATAGAGTCGGTTAAGTTAGATCTCTTTCACTGTGTCAGTCATAATTTTGCAAAGGCAGTTTCATTTTTAGTAGAAATGGGGTTTCACCTTGTTGGCTCCTGACCTCAAGTGATCCACCCTCCTCGGTCTCCCAAAGTGCTGGGATTACAGGTGTGAGCCACCGCGCCTGGCCCCAACTCCGTGGTTCTAAGACTTAATGAAAAGAGTTTAGCACAGAGACCGAAGGCTGATCTGTCTTGAGAGACCCTGGGCAGTCACTCTGCCATTTCCTGGTGTCTGCGAGGCTTTAGACTACACCAGACACTCCCTGCACACGTGGCACCGATGCAGGCCCCCGTCCCTCTGCCACTCCCCACAGAGAGCAGTTGTGGTCTTAAAGTCCCCTTTACCCAAGCCATGACCAGGCAGTTCCAACAGGCATTATCTCCCAACTTTGACTCCAGGGCTTCTCCCAGCTCTGAGGGTCTGAGATTCTGAAGATTTGCCTGGAGGGTTTCTTTAGTCTGGAGCCATTGAGACTAGGAGCCTCACCCCGTTCCTTCTCTTACATCCTACAGAAATCAGGGTGAAATGGCCCACACGTGCCGTGGAACCATCAACCTGTCCACCGCGCACATTGACACAGAGGACTCTTGTGGTATCTTGCTGACCAGTGGGGCCAGGAGCTACCACCTCAAGGCCGGCTCAGAGGTGGACCGGCAGCAGTGGATCACCGCCCTGGAGCTGGCCAAGGCCAAGGCTGTCCGCGTGATGAACACTCATTCAGGTAGTGAGCGCTTGGGACAGCGGGTGTGTATATGGTGGTGTCATGAGTGGAGGAAGTGGGAATTGCAAGCAGCTGGTGGCCAGTGGTGGCCAGGAGACCCAGGCCAGCCCGGATCAATCTGGAAGGTCAAGGTGCGTGCATGTTCTGTGTATCGTCAGCAGTGAGAGGCTCAGCCATTCTGTCTGGCCAGCAGTTCTTGGCATGGAAATGTTTTTGATGGGCAAGAACTGTGTGTGCCTTTCTTTGCGCTAGTCAGGACTTCAGCAGACCCTTCAGACGCTGCAGGGGTCAGGTCCAGAAGCAGCTGTCAGTGTGTGCCTCAAGCCAGCCTTTTCCCTAGGTTCCCCTATAGTGGAGAGTGAAACCATTTAGCCAAAGCTGCTGCCTTTGCTTATTAGGGAGGCCAGCTCAGATGTCCTGAGCAAGACATTTTATTTTTTACTTTAATAAATTTATTTTATTTTTTGAGACAGAGTCTCACTCTGTCACCCAGGCTGGCGTACAGTGGCGTGATCTCGGCTCACTGCAACCTCTGCCTTCCATGTTCAAGCAATTATCCTGCCTTAGCCTTCCAAGTAGCTGGGATTATAGGCGCACGCCACCATGCCCAGCTGATTTTTGTATTTTTAATACAGACAGGGTTTCATCATGTTGGCCAGGCTGGTTTCAAATTCCTGACCTCAGGTGATATGCCCACTTCGGCCTCCCAAAGTACTGGGATTACAGGCGTGAGCCACCACGCCGGGCCAATAAATTTATTTTTTAAATATGTAATGTTCGGCCGGGCGTGGTGGCACATGCCTGTAATCCCAGCATTTTGGGAGGCTGAGGCAGGTGGATCATGAGGTCAGGAGTTTGAGACCAGCCTAGCCAACATGGTGAAACCCAAAGATACAAAAAGTTAGCTGGGCGTGGTGGCATGTGCCTGTAATACCAGCTACTCAGGAGGCTGAGGCAGGAGAATCGCTTGAACCCAGGAGGCGGAGGTTGCAGTGAGCTGAGATTGCACCAGGGCAAGACACTGTCTCAAAAAAAAAAAATGTTTTAACATGACTCATAAACCAACAGCGTCGAAAGCCTGTGCAGTGAGGTCTGTCTTTGACTCCTGGTTCCCAGTCACCTACCCCATTCTCCTACCCAGAGGCAACCAGAGATATATGTATCTTTACATATATATTCAAATAGGTACTTATTTCAGAGTAACTGCATTCACCGCCTTATTTTCCATTTAGCAATATGTCTTGGAAAATTTCCCTGTCAATATGTAAAAAGCTTCCTCTTTGTTCTTATGACAATGTAGTATTTCATTGTATGGGTGGACCATAGTTTATTTAACCTATAGCTTGTTGATGAGCATTTGGGTTGTTTTCCTTATTTTGTTATGACATACTGTGCTGCCGTGAGTAACCTTTGCAAGTACTTCATTTCATGCACATATGAGTATAAATGAAATTTATGTTCCAGGAAGCCGGCTTGCTAGGTCAATGGGCGTGTACATTTGTAATTGTGCAAGGTATTGTCAAACTGCCTTCCACAGGGGTTGTGCCATGGAATGTTAACAGGAGTGTGTGAGGACACACACTTCCCACAGCCCTGCCTGGCCAGAGCTACAGTAAATGTTTCTGATGTTGAAAAAAAATGTGTCTACACACGCAGCTGTGATCGTTCTGAAGTCATTAGCGGAATGGTATATTCCACAGACCTATGTGTTTGTCTGGGGAGGCAGAGCTCCAGGTGAGAAGGGGGCACAGCCCCTGCTCTCCCGGACTATCTTGGAGACTGGGTGGGAAGATGGTGAGTCCTGTGGAAGGAGCTCGGCATTCAGCAGGATGAGAGGGGCTAGTGATGTTGGGCTTTACACCCCATCCCTGTCTCCCACGTTGGGGTCTGTCCCCCAGCTCTAGGGTCTCAGTGACTATTAAAGGGCACTGAAAACCAGTCTGGCTTTCTCTTTTGTCTCACTCATTTGGAGCATGGGCCACCTGCTTGGTGACTGTTCTCCCTGAGGTCAGCACTCATGTAGCTCTTGTGCGTCAGCAGTGATGCTGAGTTTGACAAGAGGTCCCCCAGGTACCACTCCGTTACCGAGTGAAGGAGGCAGGTGAGACCATCTCAGACATGGGCTGTGTTGGGACCCCCAGAAGGACCCGTGGTCTCAGTTTGTGTGCCTGTGGGAAGCCACTGTGGCAAAAGCTGTGGCTGGTGGCACAGCTGGGCTCAGGGCACTCGTACTGGCCAAGTGAGGATGCCCACTAGAGATCTAGCTTCCTCTTCTTGGTTTTGCTTTTCTAAGTATAAATAAATAAATAAATAAATGATAAATTGCCTTATTTTTTAGGAACTTCTTGAAAATAACGCAGCAGGTGGCAGTCATGGGATTAGTCATCCTGGAACAGTTTTCCTACGACAGCCAATGCGAGGGGTTTTTGCAATTGGTGGGGTCGGGGGGTGAGAGCAGGGAGCAGGGAAGTGCTTGTTAACTCAGCTGGCAGTGCTAGAGACTGCTAGCCCAGACTTCATCTAAAGGAGAAGGGACCCCTGAGGGAGTAACCTTAGCCTCAGCTTCCCTCATTGTATGAGATGCAGCACATGTGCCAAGAGCGCAGCCTTCTGGGCAAGGCCACAGGACAGAAACAAACATCCAGGTACCACTCAAGGTAGGATTCCTCTCTTGTTGGCTTTTTGAAGCACGAATGAACCATGTTTGTGAAGGAAAAGCCTTCAGGCGGCTACTCTGTGTTTGTAGAAAGATTGGGACCACCTGGTTATATCTTGGAACATAGCCCTTTTGTTGGCTTTCTGTTAAAGGCAAGGTCCTCCTCTCTGAGCTCTCAGGCTGATGTCAGAGAGTTGTGGTTTGTAACTTTTTGCCTGTCTTGGAGTCAGCTTGGGGCAGCCTTGAATGAGAGAAGATGGCCTAATGTCGCTCTCCTTGGGCCTGGCTGATGGTGGCCAGCTGGGTCAAGGACACAGATAGCACTTTAGGCAGGCCACTGTGGGTTATCCTGGGGCCTGTTTTCTTTTCCTGAACTGAGGACCCTGTCTCATCCTGCTGGAAGCCTACTTCCTACTTCTACTTATCTCTTGAAATCACCTGCTACTCCCCAGCTCTTTTGCCATGCCCTAATCCAAGTGCAATCCCCTCCTACCTGGATATCTATCAGGAGTTCGAGACCAGCCTGGCCAACATGGTGAAACCTCGTCTCTGCTAAAAATACAAAAATTAGCCAGGTATGGTGGTGCATGCCTGTAGTCCCAGCTACTCGGGAGGCTGAGGCAGGGGAATCGCTTGAACCTGGGAGGCAGAGGTTGCCGTGAGCTGAGATCACACCACTGCACTCCAGCCTGGGCAACAGAGTGAGACTCTGTCTCAAAACAAACAAACAAATCAACTCTTAGGTGCTATAAATCAACTAGACTTAGCAGGCATATACAAAACACTCAACAGCAGCAGAATATAATTTCTTTTCAAGTACACATGGAACATTTTTCAGGATAGACCATATGTTGGGCCACAAAACAAGTCTCAATAATTTTTTAAAAGATTGAGATTATATGAAGTATCTTTTCTGACCACAGTGGAATGAAGGTAGGAATCAATAACAGAGGTAACACTAGAAAATGCAGAAATACATGGAAGTTAAACAACATACTCTTAAACAACTAGTGGATCAAAGATGAAGTCACAAGGGAAATTCGAAAATACATTGAGATAAATGAAAACAAGAACACAATATACCAAAATTTTGGAATGCAGAAAAAGCAGTGCCCAGAGAGAAATGTATAGCTCTATCTATTCCTCATTTATGTGCCAGAAAAAATACGAAAAGAAAAAAAAGTATGGCTCTAAAAGTATGTGTTTAAAAGAAGGAAAATAAATCTCAAATGAAAAACCAAATTTTATACCTGAAGGAAGTAGGTAAAGAACCTGAGGATGAAACACTTAATTTATTTTATGAGGCCAGCCCTGAAAGCCACACAAAGACATCACAAGAAAAGAAAACTATAAACCATTATCCTTTATGAATATAGCTGCAAAATCCCTCAACAAAATACTGGCAAACAAAATCCATTAGCATATTTAAAGGGATTATACACCATGACCAAGTGGGACTTACCCCGGGAGTGGAAGTGTAGTTCAACAACAACCAAAACACAATCAATGTAGTACACCAATTTGATTGAGTGTAAAAAAAGCCACATGTGGCCATCTCAACTGATACAGAGAAAAGATCTGACAAATATTCAACACCCTTTCATGATGAACACACTCAGCAAGCTAGGAATAGAAGGCAACTTTAGCAACATGATAAAGGGCATTTATGAAAAACCCACAGCTAACATCATACTTGATGACGAAAGAATGAAAATTTCCTCCCTAAGATCAGGAACAAGTCAAGGATGCCCAGTTCCCCAAAGCTGTTCAACATTCTACTGGAAGTTCTAGACTGAACAATTAGACAAGAAAAATAAACAAAAGGAAAATTTGGAATGGAAAAAGTAAAACTTACTTTATTGGCACACATATGATCGTATGTATAGAAAAACTCAAAGAACCTACAAAAAAAAGAGAAACTATTAGAGTTAATAAATGAATTCGGCAAAGGTGTAGGGTTTTCTATATACTTGTATTTCTACATAGTTGTAAATAATAACCCAAAAAGGAAATGAAGAAAACAGTTTCATTTAAATAGCATCAAAGTTCGGGTACAGTGGCTCATGCCTGTAATCCTAGCACTTTGGGAGGCTGAGATGGGCAGATTGCCTGAGCTCAGGAGTTCGAGGCCTGCCTGAGCAACATGGTGAAACCCCCTCTCTACTAAAATACAAAAACTTAGCCAGGTGTGGCGGCATGTACCTGTAATTCCAGCTACTCCAGAGGCTGAGGCAGGAGAATTGCTTGAACCTGGGAGGCAGAGGTTGCAGGGAGCTGAGATCGCACCACTGCACCCCAGCCTGGGCGACAGAGCAAGACTCCGTCTCCAAAAATAAAAAATAAAAAATAAATAGCATCAAAATTTAAAATACTTAGGAATAAATTTAACCAAGGATGTGAAAAGGAAACTGAAACTAAAACATACTGGTGAAAAAAAAAAAAAAAAAAAAAAGACCTTTATAAATGGAAAGACATTCCATGTTCATGGATTGAAAGACATAATATTATTAACATGGTGAACTGCCTAAGCAATCCATAGAATCAATGTGATCCCTATCAAAATCCACTGACCCTTTTTTGCAGAGATGGAAGCGTTTATTCTAAAATTCATATGGAATTAATTTCAGAGGACCCCCAAATTGTCAAAACAGTCTTGAAAAAGAACAGAGTTGGAAGACTCCACTTTTGAAACTTGCTAAGGGCTGTAGTAGTCAAGACAATGTGGTACTTGAGTAAAGATAGACATACAGATCAATGGAATAGAATTGAGAGTCCAGAAATAAACCCATACATCTCTAACCAATGGATTTTCAGCAAGAGTACCAAGATCATTTAATAGGGAAAGGACTGTCTCTTCAGCACATGATACAGAAATGATTGGATATCCACATACAAAATAATGAAGTTGGACTCCCCCCTGTCCCCACCACCATATACAAAAATTAACTCAAAATCTGTTAGGCATGGTGGCTCACACCTGTAATCCCAGCACTTTGGAAGGCTGAGGCAGGTGGATAACCTGAGGTCAGAAGTTTGAGACCAGCCTGGCCAACATGGTGAAACCCCATCTCTACTAAATATATAAAAATCAGTCAAGTGTGGTGGTGCACACCTATAGTCCCAGCTACTCAGGAGGCAGAGGCAGGAGAATTGCTTGAACCTGGGAGGCGGAGGTTGCAGTGAGCCAAGATTGTGTTGCTGCACTCCAGACTGGATGACAGAGCAAGACTCCATCAAAAAAAAAAAAAGAGAACTCAAAATGAATCAAAGACCTAAATATAAGAGTTAAACTAACAAAACTCTTAGAAAGAAAAAACAGGAGTAAATTTTCAAAACCTTGGATTTGACAATAAGTTTTTATTTTTAATTTTTATTTATTTGTTTATTTACTTAAGACAGGATCTCACTCTGTCAACCAGGCTGGAGTGCAGTGGTGAGATCTCAGCTCACTGCAGCCTTCGCCTCTCAGGCTCAAGTGATTCTCCTGCCTCAGCCTCCTGAGTATCTGGGACCACAGGAACGAGCCACCAGGCCAGCTAATTTTTGTATTTTTAGAAGAGACAGGGTTTTGCCCCATTGGCCAGGCTGGTCTCAAATTCCTGAGCTCAAGTGATCCGCCCACCTTGACCTCCCAAAGTGCTGGGACTACAGACATGTGCCACCGCACTTGGCCAGCAATAAGTTTTTAGATATGACACTAAAAAGCAGCTAAGAAAAAAGATGGATAAATTGGACTTCATCAAAATTTAAAAATTTTGTACATCAAAGACACTATCAAGAAAAGGAAAAGATAGCTCACAGAATGGGAGAAAATATATGGAAATCATATATTTAATAAAGGTTTAGCATCCAGAATATATAAAGGATTCTTACAACTCAACACCTAAAAGAAAAATTACCTATTTAAAAAAATGAGCAGGCCAGGCGCGGTGGCTCACTCCTGTAATCCCAGCACTTTGGGAGGCTGAGGTGGGTGGATCACTTGAGATCAGGACTTCTAGACCAGCCTGGCCAACATGGTGAAACCCCGTCTCTACTAAAAATGTAAAAATTAGCTGGGTGTGGTGATGGGTGCCTGTAATCCCAGCTACTTGGAAGGCTGAGGCAGGAGAATCACTTGAACCTGGGAGGCAGAGGTTGCCGTGAGCCAAAATCACACCACTGCACTCCAGCCTAGGCAACAGAGCAAGACTAGGTCTCAAAATAATAATAAAATAAAATAGTGGACACATGGCTGGGTGTGGTGGCTCATGCCTATAATCCCAGCACTTTGGGAGGCTGAACTGAGTGGATCACTGGAGCTCAGGAGTTCGAGACCAGCCTGGGCAACATGGCAAAACCTCATCTCTACATAAAAACCAACCAACCAAACAACAACAACAAAAATAGCCAGTGTGGTGGTACATACCTGTAGTCCCAGCTACTCAGGAAGCTGAGGTGGGAGGATGGCTTGAGCCCAGGAGGCAGAGGCTGAGATTGTGCCACTGCACTCTAGCCTGGGTGACAGAGCCAGACCCTGTCTTCCCCCAACCCGCCCCCCGACCAAAAAAGGCAAAGTACTTGAACAGACGCATCTCCAAAGAAGCTAACAAATCCATGAAAAGAGAATCAACATTATTAGTCATTGAGGAAATGCAAATCCAAAAAACACTTCACACCCATTAGGATGGAAAATAACAACATCAAAAAAGAAAAGTAACAAGTGTTGGCAAGAGAGTGGAAACATTGGAACCCATATACATTGCTGGTGGAAATGTAAAATGATACAGCCACTGTGGAAATAGTTTGGCATTTTCTCAATAAATTAAATAGAATTGCCCCTGTGGCCCAGCAATTCCACTTCTGGGTCTATACCAAAAAATAATTGAAATCAGGTGCTCAAACAAGAACTTATACACGAACAATCATAGCAGCACTATTCACAATAGCCAAAAGGTGCGAAGAACCCACATGCCCATTAATGGGTGAATGGATAAAGAAAATGTGGTATATCCATACAATGGAGTATTATTCAGTCATGAAAAGGAATGAAGCACTGACACATGCTACAACATGGATGAACCTTGACAACATTATGGTAAGTGAAAAAAGCCAGACACAGAGCACCCACATATTGTGTGATTCCATTTATATAAAATATCCAGAACAGGTAAATCCATAGTGATAGAAAGCAGACTAGTGGTTGGTAGGAACTAGGGGGAGATAGGAAGTGACAGCTTAATGGGTACAGGATTTCTTTTTGGGGTAATGAAAATATTGTGTAACTAGACAGAGGTGGTGGTTGCACGTTATGAACGTACTAAATATCACTTTAAAATGGGCCAGACATGGTGGCACATGCCTGTAATTCCAACACTTTGGGAGGCTGAGGCAAGAGGATTGCTTGAGCCCAGAAGTTTGAGGTTGCACTGAACCACGTTCACGCCACTGTACTCCAGTCTGGGTAACAGAGCAATGCCTTGTCCCTAAAAATAATAATAATAAAAATAAAATGATTAAAATGGTAAACGTTATGTATGTTTACATCCACACACACCCAAAATTATCTTAGGTGGCTTGCTGGTGCTCGTTGGGTAAAATCCAAGCTCTTCCTCACCTCGGAGGTAAGGCCCTCTGTGATCAGGCCCCTGCTGGCAGCTCCTTTCCTGCTCTTCTCTGCCCCGCCCACTGGGTTCAGTTCTGCTTCAGGGCCTTTGTACTTCCTGGTATCTCTGCCTAGAACACATCTGACTGGTGTCCCATCTTCAGAGCTCAGCCTAATGTCACCTCAAAGTACTTTAAGCTGTTCCTCTCTTTTGAGACATCTCCATTATAGGACCCTGGATATTTTCTTCACTGCCATCTGCTGTCATTTTTATTTTTATTTATTTATATTTTGAGATGGAGTCTTGCTCTATCACCCAGGCTGGAGTGCAGTGGTGTGATCTTGGTTTACTGCAACCTCCATCTCTTGGGTTCAAGTGATTCTCCTGCCTCAGTCTGCAGCTGGGACTACAGGCACCCGCCACCACACCTGGCTGATTTTTGTATTTTTAGTAAAGGCAGGGTTTTACCATGTTGATCAGGCTGGTCTCGAATTCCTGACCTCAAATGATCCACCCACCTCTGCCTCCCAAAGTGCTGGGATTACAGCCATGAGCCTCCACACCCAGCCTATTTTTATTTATTTATTTATTTTAATATGGAGTCCACACTGTCACCCAGGCTGGAGTGCAGTGGTGCAATCTCGGCTCACTGCATGCAACCTCCGCCTCCTGAGGCTGGTCTTGAACTCCTGACCTCAGGTGATTTGCCTGCCTCAGTCTCCCAAAGTGCTGGGATTACAGGTGTGAGCCACTACGCCCGGCCTAAACTAAAAAACTTCTAAGACCCCGGAACCTTTTAAATTTTTTATTGTTCATCTCCTCGATAGAACCTAAGTTCCTTGAGGGCAGAGAGAGCCTATATGTCTTGTTTCCATGGTGACCTCAGGGCCAGGCCCTGAGTTTGTTACTGGAGTTGGTGCCCAGCAAGGATCTGTTGTGGGGCCAGTGTGCCGTGACACCCTTGGCAGCACCAGCAGTGTCCTTGCAGAAGAAGACTGTGGTGTTGCAGTTCCTTTCCACCTGTTGTCACCAGAAAAGGGGGTCTGGTCCCAGATCCCCAGAGTGGGTTCTTGAATCTGTCGCAGGAAAGAATTCAAGGCGAGTCACAGAGTGAAGTTAAGATCACTTATTACAGACTACTCAATTACAGAGTAGGGTGTCCTCAGAAAGCAAAAGGAGCAATGCGCTACCTTAAAAGTAGTGCTTGCTTATATAGGTTGTTAAGAATTGTGTATTTAGGCCGGTCAGGAGTTCGAGATCAGCATGGCCAACATGGTGAAACCCCGTCTGTAATAAAAATACAAAAATTAGCTGGGCGTAGTGGTGCGCGCCTGTAATCCCAGCTAGTTGGGAGGCTGAGGCAGGAGAATCGCTTGAACCCGGGAGGCAGAAGTTGCAGTGACTACACTCCAGCCTGGGCGAGACAGAGCAACACTCTGCCTACAAACAAACAAACAAACAAAAAAGAATCGTGTATTTATTACAAAGGCTGGTGATTGACTAGTGGCAGACTATTAGTATTGTTACTTTCCTATTGTTACTAATTCTTGATTTTAGCAAGAATTTATCAGTGTACTATTATTTTTAAATCAAAACCTATTCTTAAACTAAGAATGCTTTTTTGTTCTTAAAGTACTGGGACATTTCCATAAGTTCTGAGTCTTTAGTTGGTTAATATCATTAGCTCATTCCCTCAACTATAAACATGTGACCAGGACTGCCCAAACTCCTGGGAATGTAACCCAGCAGGTTTGGCTTTATCTGGGCTTTATCCAAGATGGAGTCACTGTGGCTAGGATGCCTCTGACACTGTCACCACTGGAACAAATGAACTTGTGACATTTGGCTGGAGAAAGGAAGCCCAGGCAGAACCTGCTTGAATTGCAAGTTTGAAGGTTCAGGGTGTGCAAATGAAGCCACAGACTCCTTTCTAATTCTGTTTGTTGTTTATTTTTGAGATGGAGTCTTGCTCTGTCACCCAGACTGGAGTGCAGTGGCGCAATCTTGGCTTACTGCAACCTCCGCCTCCCGGGTTCAAGCAATTCTCTTGCCTCAACCCCCTAATTATCTGAGATTACAGGCATGTGCCACAATACCTGGCTAATTTTTGTATTTTTAGTAGAGACGAGGTTTTGCCATGTTGGCCGGGCTGGTCTTGAACTCCTGACCTTAAGTGATCTGCCCACCTCAGCCTCCCAAAGTGTGAGGATTACAGACGTGAGCCACTGCGCCTGGCCACAGACTCGTTTCTAGTGACACAAGCAGAACCAGGAGTGGAAGTAGTGAGACTGATTTCTGCTTGGTCAAGAACAGAGCTCACTATGAGAGGGAGGGAGAAGTGAGGAACATAGTGAAAGATCGGAGCCAGAGGGCTGGGCCTGAGGCAGGGCCTGAGGGTCCTCCCAGTGTTTCAGTGCTGTCATTCTGGGCTAAGTTGGCATTTCTTTAACTGTTCCCTTTCCACATTTGGTAGAATATTCTGTAGTACTGTGGACAGAGCAGTGGGCCCAGGGGCAGGTCTGACGCTGGATAAGTCACTATGTCTCATGGTGCCTCCTCCTCCTGTCTATGGAATGAACAACTGGCCAAGCTTCTCCCCAAGTCCAGCTCTGGGGCCTTGGTCAAATCAGTGAATGCTTCCGAGCTCCAGTTCCCTGTCTTTGGCATTCCTGCTTAGTTGCTGGGAGGATTACACAATGGTAAATGGGAAGTGTGTTGTACTGTGGATGCAACCAATTCCATTCACGCTGGCATTGCTGGCGGGTCATATGCCCCATGTAAACAAAAAAATACAATTCGAAGGCCCTCCAGCCGTCTCAATGGGATTTCCTCCTAGGCCAGGGCACTCTAAAATGTAACCTGAAAGACTGGTTCAGGTTATGATGGGAAGTGGGAGTCTCATGCCTCATAATACCTCTCATAACACCTCATGCCTCATAATACCTCTCATAACACCTCATGCCTCATAATACTTCTCCGATGTTAACATCAACACAGACCTTAAGTCTGATAAGAAACATTGGCAATCTATTCTCTCCGAAGCCTGCTACCTGGAGGCTTCATCTGCATGGTAAAAGTTTGGTCTCCATAACCTCTTATCCCAACCCAGGTATTCCTTTCTAGTGATAACTCTTTTTTTTTCTTTTTTTTTTTTTGAGATGGGTCTCTATCTGTCGCCCAGGCTGGAGTGCAGTGGCACGATCTCAGCTCACTGCAACCTCTGCCTCCCAGGTTCAAGCAATTCTCCTGCCTCAGCTTTCTGAGTAGCTGAGATTACAGGCATGCGCCACCATGCCTGGCTAATTTTTCTATTTTTAGTAGAGTTGGGTTTCACCATCTTGGCCAGGCTGGTCTTGAACTCCTGACCTCAGGTGATCCACCAATCTCAGTCTCCCAAAGTGCTGGGGTTACAGATGTGAGCCACTGCACCCAGCCTCTATTGATAACTCTTAAAATCAATTGCCAATTAGAAAAAATTTAAATCTACTTGTAACATGGAAACCCTGTCCCCTTCAAGTTGTCGCACCTTTCTGGACCAAACCGATGTATTTCTTAAATGTATTTGATTGAAGTTTCATGTCTCCCTAAAATGTATAAAATCAAGCTGTACCCCAACCACCTTGGCACATGTTCTCAGGATCTCCTGAGGGCTCTGCCAGGGGCCGTGGTCACTCATATTTGGCTCAGAATAAATCTCTTCAAATATGTGTGTGTGTGTGTGTGTGTGTGTGTGTATTTTTTTTTTTTCCTTTTTTCTTGAGATGGAGTCTCACTCTGTCATCCAGGCTGGAGTGCAGTGTGCAATCTCAGCTCACTGCAACCTCCACCTCCCAAGTTCAAGCGATTCTCCTGCCTCAGCCTCCCAAGTAGCTGGGATTACAGGTGCCCGCCACCATGCCTGTCTAGTTTTTGTATTTTTAGTAGAGACAGGGTTTTGCCATGTTGGTCAGGCTAGTCTCCAACTCCTGACTTGAGGTGATCCTCCTGCCTCAGCCTCCCAAAGTACTGGGATTATAGGCGTGAGCCACTGCACCCAGCCCTCTTCAAATATTTTACAGAGTTTGACTCTTTTCGTTGACACCCAGCACTCATAAAATCATTTGCCCACAGCTGGTGGCAGGAGATGGGGCAGAATCACCCGCAGGAGATTAGGCGCCCAGGGCGTTTGAGAGGTGAAGGGAAAAAACTGCTTTTACTGTCTCCAAACAACTTATGTCCAACAATATGTGTTTCCCCAAAATGAGGTGCAGCAGCCCCCAAGGGATTCACCTCCGGAAAGACATTCACCTTCCGCTCAGGGCAAAGATATGCTGCTTGTGGCCGCGGGAGGGAGAGCCATGGTCATCCTGGGGGAGGCGTGCTCACACTTCCCAAAAAAGGACCTGTGTTAGTCACAGAGGAGTCTGCAAGCGGGGACGGTGGCCCTTCCCTGCCAGCCCTTCCCCAGCTGTGCACCCAGCCCCCTCTGCTCACTGCAGTAGTGATTCTCTGCTTATACACCTAAAATTTGACCTTTTGGGGTTTTCCAGTTTTATATTTGTGGCTTGAACCTGCCAGTTGCCTAAAATGAGCTGAGGAAAGGAATACTTATTTCCAGGCCACATACTTTTTCTTCCCTTCCCTTTCCCTTTCCTTTTCCCTTTCCCTTCCCTTTCCCTTACCTTTCCTTTCCCTTTCCTTTCCTTTTTTGAGATGGAGTCTCGCTCTGTCATCTAGGCTAGAGTACATTGGCGTGATCTTGGCTCACTGCAACTTCCGCCTCCTGGTTCAAGCGATTCTCCTGCCTCAGCCTCCTGAGTAGCCTCCGAGTAGTACAGGCACTGCCACCACACCTGGCTAATTTTTGTATTTTTAGTAGAGATAGAGTTTCTCTATGTTTGCCAGGCTGGTCTCGAACTCCTAACCTCACCCACCCCAGCTTCCCAGAGTGCTGGGATTACGGGTGTGAGCCACTGCCTCCGACCTAGGCCACAATATAATTTTTATCATATAAAAATAATCCCTGGCCAGGTGAGGTGCCTCATGCCTGTAATACCAGCACTCTGGGAGGCCAAGGTAGCTGGATCACTTGAGGTCAGGAGTTTGAGACTAGCCTGGCAAACACGGGGAAACCCTATATCTACTAAAAATACAAAAATTAGCTGGAGGCTGGGCGCGGTGGCTCACGCCTGTAATCCCAACACTTTGGGAGGCTGAGGTGGGTGAATCACTTGAGGTCAGGAGTTCAAGACCAGCCTGGACAACATGGTGAAACCCCGTCTCTACAAAAATAAAAAAATTAGCCGGTCATGGTGGCACACATCTGTAATCCCAGCTACTCAGGAGGCTGAAGCAGGAGAATCACTTGAACCTGGAGGCACAGGTTACATGAGCTGAGTTTGCACCACTGCACTCCAGCCTGGGCAACAGAGTGAGACTCTATCTCAAAAAAAAAAAAAAAAATTAGCTTGGCATGGTGGTGCGTGGCTGTAATCCCAGCTACTTGGGAGGCTGAGGCAGGATAATCACTTAAAACAGGGAGGTGGAGGTTGCAGTGAGCAGAGATTGCACCACTGCACTGCAGCTTGGGTGACAGAGTGAGACTCCATCTCAAAAAATAAAAATAAAAATCCCTGGTAGACTTCTGTACCTTATATGCTCTTGTACATTAACTTTTCAGAGGGAATGAATGTCATTTAAATGGCGTGGTCCTATAAACCAAAAAATATCTGAGACAATTTCAATCAGTTTAGAAGTTTATTTTGCCAAAATTAAGGACTTACCCATGACACAGTCTCAGGAGGTCCTGACAACATGTGCCCAAGCAGGCTACAGCTTGTTTTTTTTTTTTTTTTTTTTTTTGAGACGGAGTCTCACTCTGTTGCCCAGTGGCACGATCTTGGCTCACTGCAAGCTTTGCCTCCAGGGTTCACGCCATTCTCCTGCCTCAGCCTCCCGAGTAGCTGGAACTACAGATGCCCACCACTATGCCCAGCTAATTTTTTTTTTGTATTTTTAGTAGACACAGGGTTTAACCATGTTAGCCAGGATGGTCTCGATCTCCTGACCTCGTGATCTGCCCGCCTTCGCCTCTTAAAGTGCTGGTATTACAGGTGTGAGCCACCGCGCCCAACCTACAGCTTGTTTCTATACATTTTAGGCAGACATAAGACATCAATCAATGCAAGATGTACATTCCTTCAGTCCAGAAAGGCGGGACAGGGGTGCAAATGGGTAGGAGGGGTGGGTGAGGTTTCCAGGTCATAGGTGGATTCAAAGATTTTCTGAATGACAGTTGGTTGAAAGAG